AGTCAGATTTTTTTCTGGGGGGGAGGGGGCTTGTCTATGTACTACAAATCATTCAGGGACCTATTAAAGATCCAGATCTACCCAAAATTGCCCAATAGAAATTCTTGTACTCTGCCTTTGTGGCACTCAAGGATGTGTGGGGAGGGCACTGCTTGGATCTATGGGGTGGGGGCGTCGAAACAGTTCTCCAGATCTCTGAAATGGGACAGGCCATCACCTGCCCTGCAGGAACTGCATAGTCAGGGCAATCCTGCTTGATTCAGGGTCTCTTATCAAGATGTCATGGCAGGACTGAGTGAGAAGCTGCATCTGGGAACATCTGCCAGAGAACTAGACCAGCCTTTGCCATCCTGGCACCCTCCAGATGTTTTAATCGACAACTCCCAGCATTCTGGCCCTTTGGCCATGCTGGCTGGGTCTGGTAGGAGTCGAAGTGCAAAACATCTGGAGGGTGCCAGGTTGGGGAAGGCTGGGCTGATACAGCTATTCCCCGTGTAAGGTAGGTGCGAATTCCTGAACTCCAAGGCCCAGCTTGGGAGTGCTTCCTTTTCCAAAACCTCCATTCTTGCCGTTTTCCCAGGGCTTTAGGCTTTGTTCAGGATCTGGTCTCTGAGTCCCTTTTATCACAGCACAGACCAGAGGCTCTTCCTTTGAGTCTGGTTATCAGCTGCTGCTTCCTTCACACATGCCAGGGCTCACACGGCTGTGCACCCTGGGGGAGATCTCTGCAGCAGTTGGGTGCCCCAGTTCTTGTCCTGCTGCACAAATGCATCTGGAAGGACTTGCCAAGGCACCGAGCCTTCATTTCTTTTCGGCTCAGCAAGAGCAGGCCCTGGACAGGGCAGCATGATGCCTGCAGACTTTGCCTCCTGACCACCAAAGTGCGGAACGAATGAGGCGGGACAGCAGAACCCTCTTCTGTCCTGCAGAAACCTCCCTTGGTAAACGGACAGCACCGAAGGTTGGCGATGTGGGGCAAATGCCGGAGACCACAAGCCACCAGCACGTTCACTGGGCCCCACCAGAAGACTTTGGACGAACCAGCCATCGCCATCTCATGAAGGGTTCCTAGACAGGTGAAAACAGCACAGGGGGAACACTGGTCCTTTTAGCACCCAAACAGGAGTGTCCTCGGAAAGGTGCAAAACACAGAAATCAGAGCAACTGCCCGGCTGATGTGGCTGTACTGCCTTGCTCAGAAATGGAGCGTGTGCAAGTTTCGCCTCCAGATCGCCGTACTGTAAATTGCACAGTTCAGAGTGTTTTGGTGCGATTTCCAAGTGCCTTTATTTCAGCGGCATGATTTTTTTCCCATTTAAAAATTGATCAAATCCAGCGCAGGAGTTTTCAAGGACTTAATTGGCTTCTTTTTCCGCTTCTCCCTGCCCGCCCACCCAAACTAAATGTGCCAGCTGGGAGAAGAGGTTTCCTAGAAGCCACCTTGAGGGGAGGGGCTGCTCGAGGTTTGGACGAGCTCTTGGAGGGCAGTCCTTCCTCCATGGATCTGCCCCTTGCCTCACTGTCGCACCTGCTTCCCTTCAAGGCAGGCATGGGAGAGCAATGGATGTTTTGACCTAGAGCTGCCATCAGCCTTAGCCAGCATAGCTGGTGGTACAGAATGATGGGAGTTGTGACTCTCCAGACATTTTTGCCTGTACGCAGTGCTTTTTTTGTAGGAAAAAAGGTGCCAGAACTCATGAAATTATTTACCTTTTGCACGTAGTCAATCGCTGTATGCACACCCACACACGTCAGTTGTGTAACGAAACATAACGGTCGCCACCCGCAGAAAGCACTCAGCGTGCGACCACATGACCAATCACAAGCCGAGCGGCGCCGTCACAACCAGCGCGGACGAAGTACGCGTGCATTGGATTCAACACACAAGCGGCCCGTTTTAATGATTTTACCGCTGACCTGCTATGCTCGACAGGGCGATTCAAATCCACATGGACCAAACATCAAATTTTCAACAGTCACTTTTAAAACTTGGAAAATCTGTTGAAAAAACGTGCCAGAACTCCGTTCCGGTGCATTCTATGACAAAAAAAGCACTGCCTGTACGTACCACACCCCTGCTTAAGGGGAGAGGGAGATTAAGACTGAATAGCTCCAGAGGCATCAGTGGTGCTTCCAGAAGGTCTTCCCAGGTTTGCCAAAAGCAGAACTCCCACTGACTGTCCACACGTCAAAGGGTGCATTGCGTTCTGGGAGTGTCCATCTCACCCAGAGGGCACAGCATAACCAAGTGTTGTCCATTCTTCTTTCTGGTGGCCACCTGCCCACCATTTTCTTGAAGTTTTGAAGTGAATACTCCCCAGCACCACTTTTACACCCTATTTCCTGAGTAAAGACAGTTATGATGCAGTTGCAAATCCTGTCTTTTTCTTGTCATTTCCACAATATGGGTAGGATAAGTGCCACTTTGGTTTTTCTAATCACTTTCAAATTTTCCTCTTGATTTTCTGGTCAGTTTCATAACCTGGCTAGAAAACTGCAGAATTCTTTTACACCTTGATTTTAAAAGGTTCCAAACACTATTTCTTCAAAGAAAGAAGCACTGAAATTAAGAACATGTGTCAGTTTTGCCCCTCTTTCACATTGTTTAAATAAAAATAGACAGCTCTTGCACAATTTCAAAATGCATTTTTTCCAGCATAGTAAAATGTTCTTTGTAACCTAACAGAAAAAAACGACCAGCAATAAGAAGATTTCAGCCTTACAACCAGATTCTAAATAGATCAACGAAGATGTCAGTACTGCTTTCAGAGATAGGAAAGCTCTTTCTTTGCAATCCAAGAAATGGATCCATAAATGGAAATGCACAGGGAGCGAAACTGAGACTTTTCTTTGCAGTAGGTGCTTCCAGGCAAGTCTTTGACCACCCATTGCCTTGCCTTGTTCATAGACGTTTGAAAGGCATCCAGGCACCTGCGACTCTTAGCCCTCCTGTGTTTTCCCTACCGCTTCTTCCCCATTTTCGCATTGCAGAAAATCAATGGGCAGTGCAGTCCTACAGCCTCTGAACAGTATCTTGAGAACCGTAGAATTTCTCAGATTCCCAGCTGCAAGATCAAAAAACCGCTCCAGTCCCGTGTCTGAGATCTACTCTTGGACCCTCCTCTTTCCCTGCCATGCAGCACCAGAGCTGTGGTTCCTCTGAGGTCGCAAGAGTGACCCCAGAGAAGGGCCTGTGGGACATTCCAGGGGGCGGTGGGAGAGGAGCCTGACACCATCAAGATCTGACACATCCTGGAAGCGCCGCAGCCTCTTTTCCTCCTGCTCCAGAGCAAGGGGAACTTGAAGGTCATCTTTGCCTCCACATTTCTCCCACCCTCCATTGGATGCCTGCCATTCTCCAACATACACAGAACCTGTAGGACTGAACCCTAAAGAACAAAAGGCAGAATTGTTGCAGGCGCTTTCTGATCTATCCCTCTGTCTCAAAGCACCGGGGGGGGGGGGGGGGGGGGTTGGAGGGACAAACACAGCAGTGGGAAATCATGGGCTGATTGCAGATGGATCCTCCTCCCCCATGCAGAATTCTGGGTATGAGGTAGCCCATTGCACGGTAAACGCCTGTTATGGAAGCGCTTCTTTTGATGGCACAGACCGATCCGTCACTTTCCACCCAAGCTCAGGGCTCACTGCACTGTCTGAGAGGAGGGCAAGGCCTCTCTGTCTGGCGTGTCCCTGGGAAAACTGTCAAGCGAGGAAGTTAAAAACAAGGCCACAGGCTGCAGGGGCTTTTTCAAAGCTCCCTCTAGCATTTCTTGGCCAGGCCAGGGACTGCAGTTGCTGAGGGTCACACCCAGGGGCCAGGGGCCCCACTCACATGCACAAGCGTCCTCACACTTCATGCACGTGCGAATGCATCTCTCCTCCCTGCCCACAGAGTTTGGGGCGGGGGGAAGCATCTGCTGCTTCCCAGTGATCACTGCCAAAGTTGCTGCTTTTCTGATCCTCCTAAGAGCGGGAAAGCGGTGAGCCAGGAAGCTGGGAGCACTGCTCCCGCCCCACAGCTCAGCTGAGCAGCACCAGAAAGCCTATGCAAGCAGGGGCCGTTCTCCTCTTTTGGACTGTTCCTTCTCCTAGCCCCATTGCAGCCGAAGGGGGCATTTGGTACATTTGGTACCTGCCGGTGAGGGTGTGCGAGGATAGGCTGGACATGCACATGGTGGGCACGTTGTGAGTGGAGCTGGCTGGAGCCGGGGGTCAGACTAGATGGCCCAGGAGGACCCTTCTGACTTGCTCAGTTTCTATGTTCTGTGTTTCTGTGCAGGGGTTTCTGCTTGTGGGTTTGTTTTCAGAACAAAGATGTGGAGGCCAAGCACATGTTAACTGCTGGCTGCACTGGCCCCGTTTGTAGGGGGTGTGTTGGTAAGATGCCTCTTGGCATGATTAATGGCCTACCAATAAAAACTGACAGTTGCCAGACACTTTGAGTAATCATTTATTGAACAAGCCAAGCGTAACAGGGAGGGCAGAAATAACCGGTAGAAGTATGAAAAGGCGGGACTCTGGGGATACCAGGCCTCCCGTCGCTTTGCTCCGGTGCCTGCAGGAGACTGGACTTTTCTTGTTGTTGTGTCCTGTTTAGTTTTACTTCTCCAGCCTTGTTTGTAATGTGTGCGTGTGTTTGTGTGTGATTCCTCCAGAACATGGACATTTACTTACCTGAGTATTTTTTTATCTTGCCTTTTAAGAGCAGCTAACAGTGACTGCATTCACGCAACATGATAACCCACTCTCAAGGATTGAGTGCAGGATGAGTGTGGATTGTTGTTGAACTATGGGCTAATATGTTGTCTGAACCCAGCTGCGCTGCTTGTTCACCCTAAAGAATCCATGAAGACAACCCATGGTTTGTGGTTGGGTTGTAAACTGTGGGTTGTTCATCATAGTGTCCTATCCCAGCAGATCCAGTCTGAGCTGATCCTTTGCTTCTTGTTGCTTTCCCCAAGAGGTGTTAATGCCGTGAGCCTGCCAAACCGAGAGCCATGGAAACCCAAGCCAAAGAAATGGAGGAGAGAGAGAAGTCCCCCGAGTTCAAGGATTTGCTGCCCAGCCAAACTGCCAGCACCTTGTGTATCAGCTCGCGCAGCGAATCTGGCTGGAGTGCTCCCCCGCTGAACAAGTGGGACGTGTACCACAAGCCGGTCATCGTCCTGTCCGTGGGTGGTGCGGTGTTCCTCTTCGGCGTGGCCATCACCAGCCTGACCTGCCTCACTGCAGACAAAAAAAGCAACGTGACCAAGGAAAGCAGAGACAACAGCACGACCAAGGAGGCCTTTAAACTGTGCGGGCCGGCCTTCCTGTCGCTGGGCCTCATGATGCTGGTGTGCGGCCTCGTCTGGATCCCCATCATCCGCAAGAAGCTGCCCCAGAAGCAGAAGTACCACATCCTCCAGAGTGTCATGTCTTTCTTCTTCAACCGCTGAAGGCAGCGTGCCTCCTTTCCACTGTATGGTGGAAAGGACAGTGCCGCAGGATAGGGTCCCACCTTTGTTCCACGGATCTAGCAAATGAAACGCACTCTGCCTGAAATAGGAGCTCACTCCTATTCTCCCCCCAGTCCCACTTCTTTTTCCTGTATGCTTCGGGATGGATCCATCCCCAGGAGAGGCACTGCTGGGTGACTTTGGGCTCAGTCGGTGAGCAACTTTACATCCCTCTGCCCATGTTAGGAGAGCGGGAGCTAAAACTGGCAGACCAGAACAATTCTTTGGACTAAATCTGATGGTGCATTTATCATATGAAGCTTTGCTTTAAAGGGTATACTCTCTCTCAAGAGCCTGATTTTGAGGGCAGTATTTTACCAAAGGCCTTCAGCAGGACTCGCAATGGTGTGTTTTTTACCTCATGACAAATGGCTTTAGGGTCAAACTCTCCTCCGGCCAAAAAAACCAAGCTGAAATGTTTCCAGGATTTCTGCAGCTCTCTCTCACTCTTGCTCTCCTACATGAAGGCATTTAAAAAGGCCATTCTTCAAGCAAACAGCTATGTGAGTAAAGGTACTAATTGTGTGAAAGGCTGAAACGTGGGCGGAGGGATTCCTGCCTGACGTTTCTCAGGGGGGCCTGGGCCTGGCCATCCAATCTCAGAGTCTCAAAATTGTTTGAAAAGAGAGCTATGCACATATCCTATTGCAGAGGAAATGGCTGATGGCTCTATGAGGAAATTGGAGCTGCATTTAGAATATCTCATGCTGTCTCACGGGCTAATGCAGCCCTCGTATCCGACCACTGATGGTATTTGTTCCTTCCTCTCCTGGTTCCTGCTTTGGATTTGAGTGAGGCCAGAGAACAAAGACCCTTGACTGTTAGACTGAAGGTCATCAAAATGAACTCCAGATGAGGGCCGCTGAGCAGCTCCCTCCTGTGCTACCCAATTGCAGGCAGACCCTGAGGAACTGAAGCAAATCCAACGCACCAAGCAAGGCTGAGGGGCCTGCTAAGATCCTACCAGAACATGAAATCAGCTTTCAAACACGTGACTGTCTTGAGAGTTGTAGGCTTGTCGTTGCTTCGATTGACTTTCTCTATTCATGTTCATTATTGTTCCTCACAGAATCCGCTCCTTGGTGGTCAGGGAGAAATCTCTGACACCTCGTGCGCCAGTGAGGAGCATGCTTCCATCACTGAAAACGTGATCAAACCAAGCAGAGGTTCTCCACCTGAGAAGACATCACTGCATGCTGAGGCCAGGTATTGAGAGTCAGCCATGCCTTGGACTTGGCAAGCAGAAAGAACATTAAAAAGTTGCCGGCTGCCCTCAGAAAGACCCAAGTGGAAAGGGCCCAGATATTGTGCCCAGATATCATGGGCACAATGTCCCCGAGTTTGTCCCAGAAATCACTCTGGAGACTTTTGTGCTGTGCTGGTTGTGCAGCTCTTGCAGCAAGGCTTTAGACTATTTAAGCTGAATAAATCAGAGGTGCACCCCAGAGGCTCTGGATTTTACACCTTGCAGGATTTCACTCCTTTTGATCTTTACAGAGGCTTTTGGTTAATTTTACCATTTCCAGTCATTGACATTTAGATTTAATCCTGCCTTTCCAGATTATACCAAAGTGCCTCCTTCTAGAGCTGCTTTCCTATCCAAACAGCGTCTCTCAGCCATTTCCACTGGCATTAGCAGAGCCACACCAAGGCAGAGCTTTTGATTTCCTGGTACTGTGAAACTTGATTCCAAGCAGCTGTCCTGCATGTCCAATCCATCTGAGCTTATGCCTAAGGAGAGGGAGACTCTTACCTTAAGGGGAATTCCGGCCCCATCCGCCCATGCACCCTCGATCCAGGTATTCAAGACGAACTTCGCCTTTTGCAATCAGACTGTGTTTTTCAAAACCTGATGAAATCACATAACTTCGTATAAATTAGGCCTTACTTGTCCATTGTGGGTGGCGTAGAGAAGCCTATTATTATTATTATTATTATTATTATTATATTTCAATGTATGTTGCCCTATAATCAAAGACCTCAGGATGATGTACATCACGAAACCAAATAGAAATTTAAAATAAATAAACTTTCACTTAACAGCAACAATAATTCAAAATAATTTTAACATTGTAAATAGCAGCTAAAAGATGGGGGAAAGGGATTTTAAAATGCAGCATTAAATGAATATTCTTCTATAACAGATGCTCCTCTCACCCTCTCAGTCACAAGTGTGCATTTTCTCCTTAGGCCAATGCTGATGAAGTCTAGTTCGCAGAGTAACCTGAAAAGGTGGGTTCACTAATTTCTATCCCCTGGAAAGGCAGAGCCATGTGACTCTCAGATCCTGGCTTAGGGTTTTGTGATAGATGCTCCCAAATGCTGGTGGATTCGAGGGGCCTTTCCATGCAAGTGGAAACCCTAATGAAACAGACCTACCCCAAATATATTTTCTGGTTAGCACAACACAGAGTCAATGCTTGCACAAAATGGGCCCAGCTCATCACTGGGTCTGCAGACTGGAACTGTGTACAGGAAGGAGGAACCCTAAATGTTATCGTTGTGAAGCTGCATCACAGGCAAGGATAGTGGGGGTTGTTTATGTATCGAGTGGTTATATTCATATCCCACCTTTTTTTCCTTTCAAGTAACTCAAAACAGCTTACATAATTCTCCTCTGCTTTCAATCTTATCCTTGCAACAACAGCCCTGTGAGGTCGGCTGGGCTGAGAGTGTACAACTGACCCAGAGTCATCCCAAGCAAGCTCCATGGCTGATCAGGGACTAGAAACCAGATCACCTGAGTCCCAGTCTGTGCTCTTAACCAGTACATCCCAGTGCTTGGTGGCAGAGCACCAGCTTTGTCTGCAGACACGCCTAAATTCAATCCCTGGCCCCTCTAGGTAGGCAACAATATGGGGCAAGTTGCACCCATGTCTGGCTCTGAGGCCGCTCCCTGCACTCCTGTGGGATGTGGAAGGTCACAGCAAGTAAAACATGAAAAGAAGAAAAAGAAGTACCAAATGGCCTGGGTGGCTGATCAGTTCGTCTGAAGCTAGAAACGATCGGCACTCGTGCAAAGACATAACGTGCTGCTCACAATACAGCTGCATGCGCTCTCTGGGGGAAGAGTCATGTGTGTCCGGAGCTGAGAATACGCTCCATCTCCATAACAGAGGCACAAGCTAAAGCAGCACATTTGGGCTCGGTGCAGAAAGAAGGGCAACAAGGATCACCTTTTACTGAGATGAGATTTAGTCGGTCAGTCAGTCAGTCAGTCAGTTTCTCTACTGCTCCACAGCTGAAGCTCTCTGGGTGGTTTGCACGAGGTTGCAAAGAGCTGGGGATTATCTACAGCCATCAGAAAGAAGTGGAGTGTGTGGCTTCTTGTTCCCACCAGATGAAAACACGCCATTGAGGCCGACTGCACACCCGAGAGAAGCCAGTTGCTCCAGAGCCAAAATTGCAGCGAAGGAGCTTCAGCAAGTTCTGCTTTCAGAGCCATATTTAGGGTACAGTCCTAAGCATGACTGCTCATAATAAAAGCCCATGTAGTTCTGTCTGTCCTCCCCGCCCCTACGTGCGGCTGGGACAAGCACAAGCCCTCCAGGGCCGGAGGTCCGCTCTGCAATGTAGGCAGGAGGAAGGACAGCAGTTTGTACCAAGTGTCACAGGATCTTCTAACACCAGTAATGGCTTTTGTCTCCTTTTTGGACAGTGTTTCTATAACTGTGCATTGTTTTTCTTATGCTGCTTGAGTGCTGAGCCATGCTGGCACAGTCACTCCTCAAAAGAGCACCGGGGGCAGAGGTTAATGGGAGGATGCGGTGCACTCTTTGCCGCTCCCTTGGAAAGCATGATGGGACTTGGCAGTCTGAGAGCAAGATTTCCATGCAGCAGGAGGGCAGCAGCTGAAATCCAAGCACACTAAGTGTTTCCTGACACTTACCACTCCGGCATGGCTGCCATTCTCCCGGGAATCAATGCTTTTGAGCTGCTGCATTGCTTCTGCCTGCCGCTAAAAGCCGAGCTAAGTAGAGCCCTTGCTCTCACCCCTTCTGCAGCCCGCAGAAACGGCCCGGCCCACAAACAGCGCTATAGGGAGACAGCAAACTGGATCACCAGCACCACCTGATCCCCTTCAGCAGGCAGACAACTCCAGGCATTGGGAATCTACTGAGCCAGGCCGTCACTGTCCAGGACATAAAGCGGACACAAGGAAGGAGGAATGGCAGCTGGAAAGGAGTGCAAATAACATGACACGCAGCACTGGTTTGATAGCATGAACTGTGTGGGGATGATGGGAGTTACGGTCCGGTGCATTTGGCAGGCACCCGCTTGGAGTGAGCCTCCCTAACCAGTGTCCAGTTGTGCAAGGTGTCAGGCAGAGATTTTCTTCCAACAGGGGTGGAGGTTGAGCCATCTGAGCTCTAAGAATGCCAGCTAAATCACATCCAGCACTAAAAACTCCAATACAGAGTCTCTTCTGGGAAATCCTTAGTTTATCAGTAATTGTTTGTCTTGAGGAACAGCTTCTTTCATTCTGCCAAGAACAAGAGCCCAGCCTGGGGCCTCCCCTGGCCTTTCCCACTATTTATTCTGTCAGATACAGAAGCAGCGCCACTTGACTGCAACCAAACAATGATGTGTTGATTGATTTTCTATGTAATCCTGCCCATCCCTCAAAGAACTTGAGGTGGTGAACCCTTTCTTCCTGCACCAATGCATGGCAACCCTGCAAGGTGTGCTAGAATGAGGAACACTGACTCAGCTAAGGTCACCTGGTGAGCTTTGGGGCCGGTTAGGGATTTGAAACTGATTCTTCCCCAGTCCTGGACTGTCCCCTAGCCCCCCGCTAGACTGCAACCCCTATCATCCCTAGCCAGCACGAAAGTTACAGTCCAATGCATCTGGAGGGCACTGGGTTAGGGAAAGCTGTTCTGTGTTTCAAGTGAGCTTGCCCTTCTACAGAGAAGGTTTCCATTTGGACTGCTAGGGTG